CCCTCGAATATTTTATTGATTAAGTTACTTTCTGTTTACACAGGATCACAAACTCCTTCGTTTATATCGGACTGTCACTTTCTGCCGTGTCGGTCGGAGGTGACAAGTATACGAACTTCATTCTGGTAGCGGTGGTGGAGATTCCAGCTTATGCAGTTACTCCATTCTTCTCTGATAGATTTGGCAGGAGACTTTCTTTGTGCGTGTCACTTCTAATCGCTGGTGTGTGCTGCGTTGCTTTTGCCTTCATACCAGAAGGTGAGAATCGAACTGTGCAATTAGGTTAAGGGGCAGATGACAGATGACGGCCATACTCGTCTGTATCTCAGCTTTCTTACCACTTTCTCGACTAGCTGATCGTGCTATTAGTTTCTCAAGAAAGATTCTGCTTCATGGAGTTAGTTAATAATAATTAATTAACATGATCTGTGAATGTTCCATCAGGGATTTTTGAATTAAAGATAGAATATTGTATCGTTACGCAATTTTTCAAGCTGTGAATGATGAGACATTTTAAATATTGCTAATTAGATGCCACTCATACTGAAATTCTGATGTAAAGTTACTAATTTGAAGAATTTTAATCACTTTGAATGTCACAAATAATTATTTGGTATTTAAATTTGTTAAGTATTTCTTGTTTCCATTTTATTGGCTCCAGTCCTGCAGTACAGATTCAAAACTCATTAGATTTTTTTGCTTGGCTCAACAGGCTATGACACAGCGAAACTCGTTGTGTTCTTGGCAGGCAAATTTGCCATCACCATTGCCTTTACGGTGGTTTACGTGTTCACTGCTGAGCTCTTCCCAACTGAACTCCGACATTCGATGCTTGGTACATGCTCAATGGTGGGGCGCATTGGTTCCATCATTGCGCCTCAGACTCCGCTCCTAGTAAGTAATATCTTTATCTTCTTTGCATTCATAAGAATGTTATTCTCTGATATGAAGACGACTACAGATTTTCTAGGACAATCCTGAGATTATCGGATTATCGTGCAGTTAAGATGAAAATGGCCGGTATTCAACAAGTGTGACCTTATTCAAGTAGAAATATAGAAATGTGCTTTAATCACTGCATCCAGGATATTTCTATAACTGCTAGAGTTTATTGCAATCTACCGTCCCATAATATTGGACACACAGCACATCACTTACAACCCGATATAAAACATCCAAGCACAACATTTAAAGGAAGAGACTTAAAAATCAGACAAATCAATATACGCAAAGCAAGATGTGCAACAGTTTTTAAAACAGTTTTTAAAATTGATAGACCTGATGATGGTGTAATACACATCGAAACATGTCGTCAATATAAAATGTAACAAGATCTAATATCTAATGAAAAAATGTTGTAATTTTAAGTAATTTTAACAACATTTTTAAGTTTGTGTATGGACGGTAAATAAATTATTATATTAATAAACACAAACATGACGCAATTAAGATATATATATATAAAAAAAAAATGTTGAATACCATTGGTTTATTTAACTTTTATTGATTGTGAGTCATATTGTAATGGGGCAATAAGAATTGTATACAACATTTTGGACAGAAAATCTAAAGGGCAGTGATAACATGGAAGTGTAGATATAGACTGGAGGATAATATTAAAAAAATTCTTAGAAAAGTAGGTTCCAGTGACAGGTGTTTACGTACATGGTAATTAACCTTCTTGTGCCATAAAACTCGTAATTAAGTAGAACTTTGTGCGTTGGAGTTATTTACGTAGCTGGTCACGTATACAAAGAGTATTTTCATAGTTTTAAAATTAAACAATGGTAAATTTAAAAACAAAGTAAGAAAGTATTTTTAATTGGGCGATTACCTATTAGTATTTGACTGACTTGTGTAAACTATGATGGTTAAAACCTGAATGTGCTTCTAATGTACACTGTGTCTGTTATAAACTTCCAGGCTGAGATCTATAAGGCACTGCCTTTCTTCCTATTTGGAGGCATATCTGTTGCGTCTGGGTTGCTAATACTCTTAATTCCCGAAACCCTGAACCAGAAATTGCCAGACACTGTGGAAGAAGCTGAGAACCTTGGCAAGCGGCAGAACACGTGATGGAAAAAATTGCATTTAGTACTGTATATATTAAGACAGTGGTCCCCAACCTTTTTGTGCCTACGGGCACATTTGAGAGTTTATGAGATCGTGGCGGGCACCAACCAATCAACAAAGCCAAATTTTCTTTTCTCTGGACAAATAAGATATGGACTCCAAATAATACACAAAACAACACGACGTTTAATGACACAAGAAAACATGCAATCAAAAATACGTACTTTTATAAGTACAATTATTATTACTCAAGTGGGAAGTTGGTGTGATGTTTGGTACTGCATTTCATCGGCCAGTTTTTCAAATTTGGGAGTGTAGAATGATGTTGCTGCTTGCAAACAATTGTCAAGATGGACGTCAGTAAGTCGAGATCTGCGCTTTGATTTAATAATGTTCATGATTGAACAGCCTTTATTATTCAGTATAACCTGTTTCCATAACAACGCGGACACCCAAAAAAAGCCTTGGCGGGCACCATGTTGGGGACCACTGTATTAAGAAGTAGACCTGAGCATCTCAAGACTTACGGTTAGCTCTGTACAGAGCACGTGGATGGATTTTGTGAGTTGTGGCGCACTGACCATGATCAACAGACTCTAAGTATTCTCAGTTCTATGATTTGATGTAGTTTAGAAAGTGAGTACTAATGTACTTAGTATTAAGATTTTGTGGGTAGTACAAAGAGTGATATTGGATATTTAAAGACATCCATCACTGATGACTTTCCTGATTTTTGTTGACATGTTCTGTTTCTTACAAGCAAAGGTGTAAAACAGTTGAATTGGTTTTTTTCTGTAAAATGGAAGTCATATAATTTATCTGGGATAGCAAGTCTGAATTTTGTAACCGTTTCCAGAATTTATTACTCTTATATTTTGCAGAATTATTCATACACTGGAAATACCCATATTTTTATAATAAATCTACAAACTGTTCTTCTCATGATCTTACTACGGTAAACCTGGTTGATTCTTTTTGGTGGTATAGAATGATATACAGAACTGCTGCCTTATTTTTTTAAAAACACATAAATAGTAAAAAATAAATATAAAATTATGTAAATGTTTCCAAATATAAGTTAATTTTTTATTACACCGATTTAAACGAGGATGACATAGGCAGGACGAGTAGCACACATGATAATGAAATAGAATGCTAGAAAACCTCAAGGGAAGAGACCCTTGGAAGACGAGGCATAGACTGGAACGTAATATTAATATGGGTCGTAGAAACCTAATATGTGAGGTGCGGCTCAGGATGTGGTCCATGGGCAGCTGCCTGTGAATACGGTGATGTAATTTCGAGTCGCGTAATAGATGATAAACTCTTGAACAACTAAGCAGCTGTTAACTTCTCAGGGATCCTGCTTTGTGCACATCTTACCCCATATTTCTTATTAAGATGTTCACACCTAATTAAAAGGTTCTATATTGAAGACCTCAGATATGTCACGAAACCTCTTTATAGGTCACTAAATAAGTAAACAGTTTTGATTTGTATATAATTAAAATTTTGCAACATAAAACTAGCCAGTGCCACCGGTTATTGGAAGTAATGCAGCATTCAATCATAAAGTAAAGCTGTCCCACTACATGCCAGGCGCTTGGGGGGAGAGATGGTATAGCTCCTACTCTTTCTTGACCTCGGCACTAGATGGGGTGAGTGGTCAGCATCACGCCCCGGCCGTGCTTTTCCCCCGGGAAAGTACCCCGGTACCCATTGGATAGGAGGCTAGAGGAAAAATCCTCTGCCCCCGTCGGGGATCGAACCCCGGTCGCATAGTCCGTAGCCAGTCACTATACTGACTGAGCTACGCCGGCTCATGCAGCATGCAATCATGTGAGTATAAATATTCTGATCTGTACACAACCTGTTTATAGTGTTTCTACTGATATACTCAGTTTGCACCACTTTTATAAATAATTGTATTTAAATTCATTAACTGAAGCAATTTGAAGACTGTCCCAAACAGAAATCACTTGTGTGTCTGTTCTGTGTGAACTGACGATGACAATCCTAATAAAATGTAAATGTTATAATAAAGTTTGATTTCACGGCAATTAGTCTGAAGATGGCTGTCTTCTGGGTTGTTAGTAAACTTCTACCAGACTACACGGCACAACAGCCCAGAAGACTAGCCATCTTTTGATATTATAAACATAAAATTCCAGTTGACTATATTGGAAATGAACCTGCAAGCCTTAATGTAATAAATGTTATAGAAGAAAGCAGACAGAGTTTAATTTAACCGCTAGTATTCTTCACTCTGAGAAAACATTACTATACTGTAATTATTTGAAAGGCTGATATATATGAGAGTTTTTAGCAGCGATATTTAGATTTGAGGGTAATTCATGGTTTGCTGGCTCTATGTGAGTAAATCTCATGAAAACTCACGAAAAACAAAGACAAGCGGAGGTTTCCATACACCTTCCATCGGTGCTTAGTACCAAGTTCCCACTTTCCGGCATTACTGTCAAAGGAGGTAAACCCAGAGGAACGCCGTATGAACACGTTATCCCGAACGTGACATGTAATAAGCGATTAAGGCAAGATCGCAAGAAAATCTTCGAGACTCGCGAGTTCACCAACGAATCACATACGACGTGGCCGAAGCCAACCAATAACTTAAAAATGCCAGAAACGCTGCCTCTAGTGGCACTCCCAGTGTTCGAGCTGTCCAGAAATCGTTCACATCCTACGAATGCTTGATCTTTGTGAACTGCTGATTACATCCTTGAACTTTGTGTTATGTCTAGCTGAAAAGCAGCTGAGATTTCTCCGACTGAAACCGTGGGTCATTGTCGATAATTAAACATCACAATGTGTTCCCCATTTAGGTGGGATATAGTCTACTTATACTTGGCTTAAACGATAAGAGAAGTCAGAACGTTAAGAACTTATTTGTAGATGATGGAGTATCCAGGATTCAGATCAATCCGCACAAGTCTCGGCGATATCTGATATGTGACGTCAAATATTGTTATCTAAGAACATGACAACAGATCCAGTTTGTAATTAATCAATAATTCGAACGGACGTAAAGGAATTTAGATCTCGACATTAAATAAAGAAAAAAAGCAAGACTTCAGTGTAAGTTCTAGCGTGAAGTGTGTGGATGTGAAGTGAAGAACAATTATTATCTAAAAATCGCGACTTCAGCCTGGTGTAACCACAAGATTGGTGATGGGAATGTCTGCTAAAAGAAGTACACTTATTCTACAAATACATTGCCTGTGATTTTGCATACCTTAGTGTCTATGTTGTTCATTTACTGCAAATGTAAATCTACATGAATAGATAAAAAATGAAGCTGTGTGACATCACACTTTGTTACAGATATAACGCCACGTGTTTTGTAAATACCAAATAGATAGGGGATAGAAAAATATACCGAGATGAATCCTAGCCTTCATACACAAATGACTGATGTCAACGAAATTAAAATGCATTTTCTTTCATTTGCTTGTCTGTACTCCAGAAAAACATGGACTTGGACGAAATTCTGGATGAAGTTGGGCATTTTGGAAAATTTCAAGCCGTCAACTACGCGCTTGTAGGATTTCCAATCTTGCTATCTGCTGCGTTTGCACTCAGTTACGTGTTTACGGCCGGAGATCTGGAATACAGGTACCTCCACAGCATGCTAGTTGGTGCCGGACATACTAGAATCTGTAACCTATCGCAATTTTTCATACAAAGTCCAATTCTGGGTTTAAAATAGGAATTTTTATTAACTCGTAAGTGCACGTGTATAATTGATTTCAAGAGTACGACCAAAGATACTACAGCATTTTGCAAGTTGAGGGTTTTGGTTCCCCAGGACGAAGATTGGGCGCATTAGACGTGACTCCTAGAGCTTAGGCCCATTACACGATGTTGACGAAGCACCCCTCTATGGCATTGCAACCCTAATTGAGTTTTAAATAACCAATAAAGGATATCACAATTACTAAAAGCTGAAGTTCGAAAAATATCTGCTCAGAAACTTTGTTCCTTTGTCTTAACATTAAATATATGTTAAGAAAAGCCTTTGATATACTGATCCTTTTGACATCCCTGCTTTGTATTCAGGTGATCATGGACTCTAACCTCGGCCCGGACACCAGTTAGTTTAACGGAGGTGTTGAGTGATTTTATTTAGTCCGTCCAGACGAATTCCGTATAGGCAACGACCGCTACAGAAAACTTCGAATAAACTATAAACAAAAATTTGAGGTTAAAATTGCTTCCATATAGCTTGTACGTTTTCGTATTGCACGGCATTTTTAAGAACCGCGTCGTAATTCTGAATATTCCTGTCAAGTAAGATTTTGTCTTCTAAACACATCTATAAAAAACAATTAAAATATTTCAGATTTTTTTTACGAAATTATCATAAATAGTTGTAGCAACTTCATAAGTCACCCAAGAAAAAAACTGTTTCGACTCATGCAGCAACGCTACATTGCCATAAAACTAGCTGACGGACGTCAGGTGTAGGGACAGACGTGCTAAAGCCGTCAAAGAATGTCTCTGCCCTGCAGGTGCCGAATTCCTGAGTGCGACGGTGAAGAAGATTCCTTCTGCCCAAACTGGCTTCAGGATGCGGTTCCTTTTGAGGGCCCTGACTCCCAGTCGCGTCCCGTTCGCTGTCTCCGGTACACACCCAGGAACATATCTACTCCCTTTGATGAAGAATGCTCGTCGGATATGTTCGACCGTAACAACAACGTTCGGTGTCAGGAATGGGTGTACAACGGAGAGGAAACTACAATTGTTAACGAGGTACTGCATGATTTCTCACCAAACGTGATCGCGCGATTCGCATTTGCGGTAGGTTTGCTACTTTGTTTCAATCTTTTCCCAGAAATCAAGTAACTCGACTGAGTTCGTGGTTATGTTTTCAATTAGCACAACAAAAAAGTTTATTTTATTTACGCGTTTTCGCGTCACGCGGGCTTTAAAGTAAAACGTAAACAGCGCTAAATATGGCTAAAACTGAGTGTACCGTACCTTGAAATAACTATACGTGTGAAACAGAGTGACTCTCTCACGTCTTATTAACTCTAATGCATGTTATTGCTTCCTTTCAGTGGAATATAACGTGTGAAGAGAATGAGTGGAAACTGACGTTAGTGGGAACTGTTAACAACGTCGGCCAGTTCATAGGCTTCCCCCTCGCTGGATTCTTCTCCGACAGGTGACTTAATAGAATCAAGATTAAATAATATTTAGAATGTCTGAAAAGCTTATTATCGACGTATAAGAAATTAAAACGTAACTCCAAAATAATGTCACTTCCTGCCTGACACTATCCGTTTAAATACTGCCTTGTATGTACGGTCTAACCGTTCAAGTAGACCCTTGTAGTCATGCTCTCCACCCACTTAACTAAGTGTCTAGTAATGGAATACAAAGGTCCAACACATTTAACACCAAAGCCTTCAAAAATCAGGATTCACACACGAATGGCCACGCAGAGAACCCTCAACTCAAGTGCTCATTAAGTTATGAGATTCGAGGCCATTGTTACTCAACAATGTGTTCAAAAATTATCTATCGCCCCACTGCTGCGTAACAATTGCTGTTCAAGTTGCCTACCTCCTTAGGAAAAACGCGATAGGCAGACATGGACGAACTTATATGGTGTTTCTTCTTAATTCACGCTAGAGAAATACAGGACAAACAATTTCTTGACAGTCTATACCAGAACTTCGAATAAATGCCACAGAATGCCCAAAAATATGTGCGAAACATTTCTTCTAATCAGTATGACAGAGATAAAAGAAGAAACATGACCCGTAAGAAAAAAACTAAAACGTCATAAAACACCAAAATACTTTTAAAACTGTCAAAAGAGATAAAAAAATGACAGCACCAAATAAGCTGAAAACATCAATTTTTATATAAATAAAACTCCTAAAAATTCTAAGACAGAAATAGTCTAAACGTTGCAGAAAGATATAAAATTAAGGCGTCAAATAAGCACAAGAAATTAGCGTGGAAATGGTTAAAGAATGCGCCTTGGTTTGTCTGAGATCCACTCACCATCTTTTCGTACAGAGTAGGAAGAAGGACAACTTTGGTGACTGCTACTGTTGGTGCAGGTGTGATGGGGCTCGTCCGTTCCATGGCTTGGAGCTACGAAGCGTTCGTCGTCATCGAATTTCTTGACCCAGTATTTGCTTCTGGAATATACACAACAGGGTTTGTTTTAGGTATGACTCCATAATTTCTGAAATGGCATTAATTGTTTGTACACAAATGACCCAAAACCCATAACATATCAAGCTACTACTACTACTAATACTGCAGCACTAAATGTCTGTAACATTCCACCACGGGGAAATAAAAGACATGTTCAAAGCTGAATTGAAATGTCGTCCAAAACAAAACAAAAAATCTCGATTTTAACGTGGAACTGGTCTGGACATATCGATCTTCTATTTGTCCCCCCCCCCCCCCTGGGGG